GATGTGGTAAAACAAAGATGTTGCCAATGCAACCCCTCCCCCCCCCCAAAAAAAAAAAAAAAAAAAAAAACAAAAAAAAAGCTTCCTAATTGAATGAATCAGATTCATCTCACCTTTGCTCCATTTGTTCTGTCCCCAGGGGTTTTTTTTTTCTTTTATTTATCTCAGTCCAGTCACTTTTTCTCATTTTCTGTATTTGTTCCTTTCCCAGTGGTCTTGTTTTTTTTATTCATTCAACTCAGTCCAGTCAGTGTTTGCTTAGTGTTTCTTGCAAGAAATCATATATTTTATTAAAAAATAAGTTCCCATTGGAAGCCACAATCATATGGAATCAAAATTAAATGAGATAGAAATTTTATCAGGAGTGAGGAAAAAAGAGTAAAATTTAAAAGGAGTGACATGGGAGAAAGAGAAAAAATAAGAAAAGGTGAGACAAATTTCAAAAAAGTCAACAAAGGGGCTTATGATGAAGTAAAAAGAGGGAAACATTTATTTATTCTACAAGTTGAACTTTGAAGGCCCCACTTTGAATATCTGCTAGCCACAGGCGCTTTTTGTTCAAGTTTTAAACCTTCAAAGCCGAGCTTTAATAATTCCAAACTGAGGGTTGATTGCTCAGATCTAACAATCTCCAAACGACTATCGAGTTTTTTAACCCAGCAGCTGGGTCTTTGTGTTTTGGGAATACACACTCTTTACTTTTACAGGAGTCCCCTGCTGAAGCTACAGATTGGTCAACTTATGGTGTGTCAGAAAATGCCTCCACATGTTCAAAAAAAATAAAAACTTACCCAGTGTAGTATTTAAAGCCTCCCTGAGCTTTTCCTTGAGTTCATCCGAAGGTTTTTTCTTTTTTTTGACAATGGATGCACCAACACTTTTCTCCAACACTTCTTGAAGTTCTCTGGCTTGGCTATAGGCTTCAAACTGCGCCTTCAAAGTCCATCTACTTGCAGTAATAGCCAGCCAACCTGCATCATTAGAGTATTCGTGACAGAAACTGTGTGCGCCAGGAACTCGTGAAGATATGAGAAGATAATACGTAGAGTTGTAGAACTTTGAAACTGTAAAGATCTAATCAATTTTGAACAGACTTCAGCATTTATCAAAACTTCTTGTCATCTACTCTAAACTCACTTCTGAATTAAGTCTTTGAATATTGGATTCAGCCTGTTTTAGTGCTGTGCTTGTTTTGTTTTGGGATATCGGTCCCTCAGAGACAAACATTTTAACCTTCTCATGATTGACCAGTTGATGGTAAAGGGGTCGGTAGAGTTCCTCCTCCTCTTGAGTAAGGGTGATTTCGGCTAATTCATCTTTGTCGTCATCGTTGCTGTCGTAAGAACATGGAATTTTAGAGAAGAACTGAAAGATTGGGGGACTGAAAACTTCCTTTTCTATGGCGGATAGCTCCATCCAGGCTTCACCCAAGATCTTATTTCTTTCCTCCCATCCTATGGACACACCTTTTGGAGGGACTATTGTTGAAGAAGTGACAAACACAATCAGCATGGTTTGATTATTTGATTTCTACTTGATTTGAAGAGGTGACTTGCCTGGGGTTTGTTCACTTATGACACTAAAAGAAACAAAACGATTCCAATTGCTCTTCTTACGCGGGGGTTTGTTCTCACCACTATAAATGATCAAACCAATCAGTACAGTTTCCCAAGATTAACAGAACTGGAAAACAAAGAATTAAACTTACAGATACTTTGCAGTGGTTGTTTCACTAATATTTCCTATTATAGAAAGCATGAGTTTGCTCTTGATGTAATTCTGCTGGAGCAACAACAGGGCGTCTTGAACCTCGGGTGGAACTCGATTGGAACAGGATTTTTTTCTCTTTCCTAGAACCTCACAAAGTTTGTTAATCGACCAAGATCCTAATTGAGTTTGGAAGTTTTCCAATGTTAAATTGATACTCTCTTCTTCCTCCTGTTCTTCTTCTTGCTCTTCTTCCTGGTCCGGTTGGTCTTGTTCTGGGTCTGGTTGTTCTTCTTCCGGTTCATCTTCCTCTTCCGGTTCTTCTTCTTCATCATCATCTTGCTCCTGGTTAACATGGGATCGTTTTCTAGACGAGTTTTTCTTGGTTGGAGAAGATCTGGATGCTTTTCTCTTCTTGGAGTTTGAATTTTGTTTGGTAGTTGATGATTTTAGTGAAGAAGAAGATCGAGTGTTTCGGCCTGATGAGCGAGTTGCGGGCATTGTTGTTGTTGTTAGGGTTGTGTGAGATGTGAGATGGTTCGGAGTTGAGTTGAGATGGTTCGGAGTTGTGTTGAGATGCTTTGGAGTTGTGTAGAGAAATTTCAGAGTTGTGTAGAGATGCTTTGGAGTTGTGTTGAGATGCTTCGGAGTTGGGTTGAGATGGTTCGGAGTTGTGTAGAGATGGTTCAGAGTTGTGTAGAGATGGATCGGAGTTGGGTAGAGATGGATCGGAGTTGGGTAGAGATGGATCAGAGTTGGGTAGAGATGCTTCGGAGTTGGGTTGAGATGGCTCAGAGTTGTGTAGAGATGCTTCTGAGTTGAGTTGAGATGCTTAGGAGTTGGGTTGAAATGGTTTGGAGGAGTGTAGAGATGATTTGGAGTTGGGTTGAGATGGTTTGGAGTTGTGTAGAGATGGTTCGGAGTTGTGTAGAGATGGATCGGAGTTGGGTAGAGATGCTTCGGAGTCGGGTTGAGATGG